GAGAACGCCACAGCCAGAGGCCTCCCGATGCCCTGCTGGGGAGCGGCCGACAGCCGCAGGGTGGTAAAGAGAGGTTGCGCCGGAGACCAGCCGATGCTCTGTTGGGGTGCGGCTAACCAAGGGCGCCCTCGAGGGCGCGAAGTTATTCGCGCTTCGCGCTTCGCGGTCCTCGTTCCTTCTCCCCCCTCCTCCTCGTCCTCCTTTTTCTCCCTTTGGGGGGGCGGCGCGAGAGCGCGAAGTTATTCGCGCTTCGCGCTTCGCGGAGCGCGAAGCGCGAAGTTGGGAGCCCTAGTTGCGCCTGAGACCAGCCGATGCTCTGTTGGGGTGCGGCTAACAGCCGCGGGATGGTAGGTGGTTCCGCCTGAGACTGGCTGAACTAGCCGTAGGTGGGAGAATGTTCCGCCTGAGACGTGTTGGTCCTCTGGCAGGGTGCAGCTAACAGCCGCAGGAAAATGGGTAAGGGCAGGGAGATTGTTTCGCCTGAGACATGCTGGCCCTCTGGTAGGGTGCAGCAAACAGCCGCAGGATGGTTGGAAGAGGCTACGCCTGAGACATGCCGCCGTGCAGCCACTTGGGGAAGCCCAGCGGAGGAGCAACCGGATGCCGCAGTAGCCACGAGCAGGGTGGAGTGGCCAGGATAGGACCGTAAGCAGGCGGCTGCGGAGAGATGGGGGAAGGCACCGCGATTGCTTCGCCTGAGACATCCTGGTTCACTGGTAGGGTGCAGCTAACCACAAGAAGGTGGGAAAGGGTTACCTTCGCCTGAGACATGTTACGCACACAAACACGCACGTACACACACGTACACACACACACACACACGCACACACATATATTCACACACATATCCACACACACACACCCTCCCAGACACATACACACACGCACACACATGCTGCTCCTAGAGTGCACATGGTCCTGCAGTACAGCTAGTAATATCAAATTGCAATTTAGGCGTTTCAGGAAACAGTCTAAACTCGTGACTTCGGAATAGGAAACATTATAGGATCGCGATTTGGGAATACAGAGGCATAACATAATCGCGGTTAAAAAGAATCTGGAGACAGTATGGGTGGTCGATTTCGGAAGTAGGACAAATTGTGGCGTGCAAATCATGCTAGTACGATTCCCGAGTACTACTACTATGAGACTATGAGAGTGATGCTGCATTACACTTACAATTTGGGCTCTCGCGCTTTTCCTCCTCCGGTTGCGCGGGGGGGGGGACCCCGCGTGCCAGCACCCCCGCGGCTTAGAGTTTTGTTCCCTTCCAGAGTTCTGGGCAAGGTGAACCTCCGTACCCGAGCCCCTCGCCAAGGACTTTTTTCTCTTCCCCCCTCCTCCTCCTCCTCCTCCTCCTCCTCCTCCTTCGATTGGGCTTGAAGGTCTTGGGGCACGTGAACGCCTTCGATAGCAGCGCTTTCGGCTGAGGTCGAGAGGAGACTCCGGGCAGCTCGGACTGCTCTCGCTGAGCACCGCCGTCTGCTTTCTTCGAAGGCCGGCACGGCGGCGAAGCGTGCAACCTCGGCGTGCTGCACCCGACACGGAGAGGCACCTGCAGAGCACCCGGGCAGCCCGGATCGTCATGGAGATGAGGGTTCTGAGAGGAGGAAGGTCCCTTGGAAGTGCCCCCCTCTCTTGGCATCGCTCGGACGTGTGCCTTTTTCCTTCGGCGAGGACCCTCGAGGAGCATCCTTGATCATTTGGCGACAAAACAAAAACACCACGCACGAAACAGAACACAACACAGGGAATGGACGTCCGAGCGATGGCCAGAGGAGGGAGGTCCCCTCAGGGGGCCACGTGCGAACCCTACCCCATACCCCCCACGATTTCTGAGGGGGAGGGTGGGGTCCACTTCGCTCGAGAGCTCCCGAGCGAAGCGAGCCCCACCCTGCCCCTCAGAGATCGTGGGGGGCAGGGGCAGGGTTCGCATGTGGCCCCCTACCCCTGGGAGTGCCCCCCCGCTGGGGAGAGGCGTCCGGGGCAGCGGTGCCGGGGCAGCGGAGGGGTCGGAGGAGGACGACTCTTGAGGATTTCCAGGAGGACCTGCTGGGGGATCAAGCTTTCCAGGATTTCCAGGAGGACTTCCAGGATTTGAGGGCGATTTTGAGGACTTCCAGGATCTCCAGGAGGACGATTTTGAGGATTTCCAGGAGGATTTCCAGGAGGAGGACGATTTTGAGGATACCCAGGCTCCGGAACAAGCTGACGGACGAGCTCGGCCTGGAACGATCTGATCTGGAACGATTGGGCAAGGTCTGCCTATCCAGAGTCTGCGATTGGGTGGGCCATGTGGCAAGATTTGGCAACCACCAAATGGACGGGCTGGCATGGAAAGCTTTCCATTGGAGAGCCGTTAACTAGCTCACCTTCCTGGGGACGAACTACGGACAGCAGTGCCACGGGAGGAAGTTTCGGGTACGGAGGTGGGAGATGCAGTTCACACGATTATTGGGGAAGGTGCGGAAGGAGAAGGCGCAAGACCCCGAACTATGGCAAGATATGAAAGGGCTTTGGCTGAGTAGAAGGCTGACGGGCCCTTGTGCGCGATCTTCGCTCTGTCATTCATTTTTACACAGCGTCCGCGTAGCTAGCAACCCAGTCTCGTATGATCAACGTGATTTTTCTGTTTGTGCATGGGCATCGTCCTAACGGTTCGCCGAGGCAGCGTCGACTCGCCTCCTCCTCCTCCTCCTCCTCCTCCTCCTCCTCCTCCTCCTCCTCCTCCTCCTCCTCCTCCTCCTCCTCCTCCTCCTCCTCCTCCTCCTCCTCCTCCTCCTCCTCCTCCCCCCCCCCCCTCCTCCTCCTCATGGCCCTCCATGGGTCCTACCCTGGACTCGCCCGGATGACGGCGAAATCTCGCTGCCCTCGGCAAGGCTTGCGCCGGCCCGAGCAGGCCCGCGCTCCGCAGCAGCTCGGAGCCTCGAGCCCACAATGGCCCGCAGCGGCTTCGGGACTCGCCCGGGCCTGCCGTTCGCCACGGATGCTACTCGACTACACGTAAGAGCGACCTTTCCCCGGAGTGACCGTTGGTGCGGGCACGGATTGGCCTTCGGATGGCCGAAAACGGAGCGGTAGCAGCGGCTGGCGCGCCCAGGTTTGGTTTCCCCCGCGGCCCCCAAAAGGCCGCGCACCAGAGGTCATTCTTGCCCAGGGTCGCTCTTGCGCGTAGCCGAGTTGCGGGCGCTTCCTTTCTGAGCACGGGAAGTCCCGAATGGCACCCGCTCGCGGCTTGAGCCAAGGGCTACGGACGGTTCGGGGGGCGCACGGCGGCGCGCGCGTGCACACTCGGAGGTCCGCGCGGACTGCTCGGATCGGCGCTGCAGCCCCCCTTCTCCCCCTCGCTCACGTGCTCCGGCCCAGCCCTCGCGCCGCTTCCCCTCCACTCCTCCCTCCTCTCTTCGCCTCCCTCCTCGCCCTTCCTTGCTGCTGGCTCCGGCCCTTCGCAGCGCTCGGAGTGTACGATTTGGTGCGTGCGACGGCGGGGATCGAAAACGAGCTCGCTGTCCCGCGCGTCCACGTGGCAGAGCAGATCACACTCACGCGGCTGCCCGGTGCTCCCCCCCGCGTCTCTCCTCGGGGGACGTCAGCTCACCACTTCGCCGATGCCGATGGGGTGGTCACATGTGTGTTTGGCCAGAGACGGCCGCAGCTTGTCGCTCCATCTTGGAGGCCCTGGGTCTCTTTGCGGGGCCTCTTTGGACATCCTGGAGGCACCTTGGGCCAGGGAGACCTCTGGCAACACCCGATCCGATCTGTTCTTTTCCCCAGGGGAGGAGGACGAGGAGGAGGAGGACGACCAGTGTAAGCCCAAGACTCATCATCTCATCTGATGTTGGAATCCACTTTCCGTTCAAGTTCCCTCCTCATAAGCCCTTACAATTTTTCATTATCACTGAGGGAAAGGCCCCGTTGGGGGGCATCCGTGCGAAAGTCCTGACGCGTGCCCAAAGTCCATTTTCAGGACTTCGAAGCCACGTGTCAACCTGACTAATGCGTTTGACGGTCCTGAGTCGTGCCAGAACACCATCCCTGGGATTTCAATGCCGCGAATCAACGTAATTGTTTTTCCAATCCTGATTCGCTCCCAAACACCGTTTGTAATACGTTAACCATGCAAACCAGTGAAATTCGTGCAACTGTTTGAAAACGCGCCCCCTGAATCCAGTACATTCTTGCAAGTTTTTAAGACGAGTATGCGCGGCGTCAAGGCGAGAGCCACATTTTGGAAGCAACGCTCTCAATCCGTGAAGCTCTTGCAACTGTTTGAGACGAGTGCGCGCGGCGCTAAAGCGAGAGCCACATGTTGACAACGGTCCGTCTTCAATCCGTGAAATTCTTGCAAGTTTTTGCGACGAGGGGGAGCGGCGCTAAGGCGAGATCCACATTTTGGGAAGCAGCCCGCTCTCAATCCGTAAAGCTCTTGCAATTGTTTACGCCGAGTGCTCGCGGCGCTGAGGCGAGAGCCACATGTTGAAAATGGCCCGCCCTCAATCCGTGATACTGTTGTGTGTGTTTCAGAGCAATGTGGCCGGCGCGTAGGCCAAAGCAACATTCTGGAAACGACCCGTCTTCCATGTGTGAAACCGTTGCCATTTTTGTTCGCTTCAGGTTTTGCAGTGGTGAGGACGTCTCAGGCGAAACGCCCGGCCCGCTCTTCCGACTGGCCTCGGGGTGCGACAGGAAGGAACTATTCAAGAGGAAGAGGAATGGAGGGTGAGAGCGAGGAGGAAGAGGAGGAGGAGGAGGAGGACGAGGAGGGGGAGGGGGGAGACGGGGGAGGAGGAGGAGGAGGAGGAGGAGGAGGAGGAGGAGGAGGAGGAGGAGGCGGAGGCGGAGGCGGAGGCGGAGGCGAGCGGAGGAGGAGGAGGAGGAGGAGGAGGAGCAGGAGGAGGAGCAGGAGGAGGAGGAGGAGCCCTTGCGTTCGGCGTGGCGTCGGTGCTGGCGCCCCCCGCGGGGCAGCCCTCTGCGCCCCCCCCCCCGCGGCGCGGGCCGAGGCGCGCGGACCCGGGAGTCCGAGCCCCTCCTCCTGGAGGCCTCAGCGAGCCGGCCGCGGCCCCAGAGAGGGCGCCGCCGCCCTCCCTGTCCGTTCGATTCGGGTGCCTCCTCCTCCTCCTCCTCCTCCTCCTCCTCCTCCTCCGCCTCCCCGTCCTCCTCCTCCTCCTCCTCCTCCTCCTCCTTTCTCCTCCTCCCGGACGAGCGGGCGGGACAAGGCGAAGGGGGAGGGGTCACGAGGTCCGCGGCGCGCCGGTCGCTGAACGCGGGTGCAGTGGGGGGGCCATGCCAAAAAGCGCCTTGCGTGCCTCCAGGGTGCCCCGGGTTTCTCGGGTTTCGGTGGCTCTGCTGTGGAAGGCGCGAGGTTCCCACACCAAAGAGCAGCGGACGTCCTGGGGTCTCAGGGTTGGGCTTCTTGTGGAGGGCTTCGTGTGGACTGGCCTCACAACAAGAGCGACCTTTCGCTGCAGTGAACTTTGGTGCGGGCACGCTGAGATCCCCAGGTGGCTGGAAGCGATGCCACAGCGCAGCGCTCTGTGCGCTCGGGCTTGGCCTCCCCGCGGCCGCCGACCATCGCTCACGAGAGGCCACTCTTGCCTGGGGTCACTCTTTGGAGCAGCCGATGGATGATCCTCAGGACGCGCGCTGGCCCAAATGTTCGGGCCTCCTCCGCCTCCGCCTCCTCCGCCCTGTAGGCGGACAGGCCCGACTTAAGGCTACGTGAGCTGATTCGCTGATCGGGGCTCAAGAGACGGGGGTCAATGCAAACGGGGGTCATCCAGAGCGCCCGATCGTGCAGGATCCTGCAGGGCCAGGGTGGCATTGGCCTGTGTTTGGGTGCGGGATCCTGCAGGATCTCGCAGGCTCCTTCGCATTGACCCGGCTATGGGTGCAGGATATCGCAGGATCTTGCAGGATTCTGCAAGATTCTGCAAGGCCTGACTGACCCGGGCCTGGGTTGACCCGGGTCAGAAGATCCCCGAGCTGACCCGTCTTATTGACTTCCAAATTTGTCATGGCGCCAACATCGTAGAGCCGATGTCGGATCGTTCGGCAAACAGTGGGATGGGCCCCCGGACTCTGGAGAACTTCGTTTCGGATTTCGAAGTGTATTTCGTGCGTATTGTTGTTGGTCAAGAGTGAAGGTTGCAACACATGCACGTGACGTTCACGTCGTTTTTCGCTCGCCGTTTCGGGGGTTTGCATTGGCAGAAATCCGCGCAGAATCCGCGGCAGCACGTCTGCAAGGTCGGTGCAGTGAAGTTGGTCCGACTCGAGATGTGTGTTCACAGGAGGCGGAGGAGGAGGAGGAGGGGGAGGAGGAGGAGGAGGAGGAGGAGGAGGAGGAGGCACATACCTGCGGTCATCTCCACCGTCTGCACACAGCCAGCCTCGGCCCTCATTGCGCCGCCTACGCCGCCTGCCTCGTATTGACGAGCTTCGGTGGACAAACGCACGTTGGCGCTACAGCCGGGGCCCTGCAGAAGGAACCCTTTTCGTTGGGAAGCGGCTCGGTGTTCCTTGATTGTTCTACAGTTTGCCTTCTGTTTTCCTGAGGTTTTCCATGGGAAATCGAAGTTCAACTTATGGGAGAAAGGGGAACCGTTCCTTATTTATGGTTCCTTAGGTCAACGCCCCGACTGTAACATGTCATAGACCATCCTAGGGCAACACTAGGGGGGTGTAGTATCCGGGTGTAGACTCGGCGGGGACGGGCTCAGAAGGGTCGAGCTTCGAGCCTCGAGGCTCGTCTTCTGGCGGTTCTCGTTGGTCGTTCTGGGGCTCTCTCGTGGCCACGGCTGGATTCGCCTCGCAATCCTGGCCAGAACGCCCTCCAGGTTCGACCCGCGTGCTGATGCCGGAAGCGAGGCGGCGACGCACGGAGGGAGGAGGGAGGAGGGAGGAGGGAGGAGGGAGGAGGGAGGAGGGAGGAGGGAGGAGAGAGGAGGGAGGAGGGAGGAGGGAGGAGGAGGAGGGAGGAGGGAGGAAGGAGGGAGGAGGGAGAGGGGAGAGACTCCCAGGGGGGAGCGGGGGGCGGGACGACCCCCGAGCGCCCCTTCCTCGCCGGGAGGGGCCCGATGCCCCATGGCCAGCCCTTCCCGGGAGCGTGCGGATTCGCCATCGTCGCAGGCCTGGGGTAGGGGGCCAGCTGCGAACCCTGCCCCTATCCCCCCCACGATCTCTGAGGGGGAGGGGGGGGTTCACTTCGTTAGGAAGCTCCCGAGCGAAGTGAGCCCCACCCTCCCCCTCAGAGATCGGGGGGGGTAATCAGGGGCAGGGTTCGCATCTGCCCCCCCCCCCTATAGAGGTTGACACCAACACCAGTGTCGGCCCTGTGCCTCCACCGAGGGAAGAAGATACCGAACACGGTGATGGTGGTAAGACTCCGGCTTTCGAGGCGGCCGAAGGATTACCACCAGCACCGAACTCTGGGATCATCTTCCCCCTGTGGAGGCAGCCCCCTGTGTTGGTGTTGGTGCCCATTTCCAGGCCTCCAACATCGAGCACCTCTCTCCGATTCATGGGCAACGTATCGCCGATGCAAGTCCGCTGTTCGCCCCCCGAGACAGCCACCCCCCCTCCTGTCGCTCAGCTCGTGCACCCTCCCGCCGCGGATCGGTTTTCCTCGGATATTCCGCCGCGCTGCCTCGCACTTGCCGAGGGCCCCTGCACCGATCGCTGCCCGTCTCCTCCTCCTCCTCCTCCTCCTCCTCTCTCCTCCTCCTCCTCCTCCTCCTCCTCCTCCTCCTCCTCCTCCCCCTCCTCCTCCCTCCTCCTCCTCCTCCTCCTCCTCCTCCTCCTCCTCCTCCTCCTCCTCCTCCTCCTCCCTCCTCCTCCTCTCCTCCTCCTCCTCCTCCTCCTCCTCCTCCTCCTCCTCCTCCTCCTCCTCCTCCTCCTCCTCTCCTCCTCCTCCTCCTCCTCCTCCTCCTCCTCCTCCTCCTCCTCCTCCTCCTCCTCCCCTCTCATGTCATGCCTGCCCTTGCGCTCCTCCTCCTCCTCCTTCTCCTCCTCCTCCTCCTACTACTACTACTACTACTGCTCGTGGAGCTCTTGCAGGAGCCCCTCGGCGGCTTCTGAGGCTGGGGGGGCTCGAGGGAGCCTCTGGGGAAGTTCTCGGGGGCGCTCTCAGGCCTCGAGGTGCCTCCGATGGGGGAGCGGTGAGTTGCAGGCCCCCACAGGCAGAAGCGGCTCGCACGATTATCCGCAACACATTGGCGCGTTGGTGTATCCAGGTACCAGGTAGGCCTTGTCACCACGCGGGTCGAGCAATTGGACATGATGGGTGTCTGGCGGGTCCAGAGGCGTGCGTGGTGAGATGATGGTGAGCGAGCAGCATCTTGCGGGGACCTGAATCGCTCTTGTTCCCTTGCCTGATTTGACCAGGCTGTTGAGATCGCCTCGACGCCGGGTCGATGGCACAGGCCGCTCCTGGTCGCTCCCTGACGTCTCCTGCCGAGGTCGAAGATACCGACCGTCTGAGGCTCCGCACTGGATTGTTGGTGCGGCCGTTCGTCTGCTCGTGCCAGGACGTGTCATCTGTCAGGCAGGACGGGAGAGGGAACGAGAGAGAGAGAGATAATCATATATCTACGCATGCACGTACACATGTGCACGTAATTACACACGTATATCTATATCTATAAGTATATGTGTATGTGTGCGACACGGATATACGTAACTATATATACACATATATGTATGTATGCAAATCTGTATAATTGTGTATAATTATAGATAGATAGATATGTAAGGGCTTTGCCCTCGGCCGCCGGACACTGTCACAATGGGAGAAGCCGGCGCTGTTTTGAACACACTTCGCAGGGACCTCCTGCGAGGGCGCCTGGCATTCTGCAGCCGCCTCCAGATGCTGGGCGTCGTGGCCGCACGCCCCGTGTGTCACCGCACCGCCTGCACCCCGCGCCCTCCGGCCGCCTGAGGCCCCGCCCGCCCGCGCCCTGTCTCCCCAATTAGTGCTTTGCGCGGCCCGCCTAGCTCTTAACCGGAAGAGGCTCGCTCTCGACCCGCAGACCAAAAGTGTGTCACCGCCCACTGCGCCACCCCAGCCCCAGTCCGAAGGCCCCGAAGTGCCCTCCGTCTCCGGTGGGTGGGGGGGGAGGGTCGGGGAGCACTGAAGAGACCCGCTTGGAGCCCGCAGCCCCGCCAGCCCCCCTCAGAATTCGGGCCTTCGGGTCAGGCTGGGGTGGCCTGGTGGGCAGTCAGTCCACTTCTGCGAGCGCGGGCCAGGCGTACAGGGTCCGGCCTGAATGAGGAGCACTCCAGTTTCCAACGGGGCTCGGCCGTCCCTTCGGCTTGCATGCGCCCCGCTGCCTTTTTGGCGGCGAGCCCCCCGGGGTGTTTCCTCGGACCTTTTTTGGACTTGCTTGGGAACAAAAAGGGGCCTCGCTCCTCGTGTATCGTATGTTTCGTTCCTTCGGCCAGGTCGAACGCTGTACAGTGCCGTTTTTGATACATGCTCCGCGTGCGGATCATGTATTCAACATGCAGGGATTTAGTATCAGAAACGACGATGAGTTCATGCGTGAATTTATTCAAAAAACTACCATGTATTAAAATCCGATATGTTGAAACATCCCATGTATTAAACACTGCCCTGTGCTTCTCCGAGCGCGGGCCAGGGGTCAAGTCTCTGCAGGGGGGGGGGCCGCTGCCGCCTCGGGCCTCCTCGAGGGCGCGGGCCCGGGGCGCGCGCCGCCCTGCGCTGCCGGGCTCCGCGCGCCCTCGGGGGCGCGAGCCCGGCAGCGCTCGCGGGGGGGGCTTTCCTGGCCCCGGGGGCGGGAAGCGTGCGCGATCTGCAGGGCGATCGTCTTCTTCTTCACAGGCGACCGCGACTTCCCGTGGAAGCGGGACCCGTCGCTGAATCCACGCCCCCTCAGTCTATGTCTGCGGTTGCCTGAGAACAGGAAGACGATCGCTCTGCAGGTCTAGGGGAACAAAAAGTGGCATAAACGTAAAAACTCGGAGGTCCGCGTGGATTTCTCGCTGGACCCCCCTCCCTGGCGCGCGGAGCGCGCCAGGGGCGGCGCCGGAGGCGCCGCCAGGGGGCCCCAGCGCCGATCCGAGAAATCCGCGCGGACGTCCGAGTTTTTATGTTTATGTCACTTTTTGTTCCCCTAGATCTTCAGAGCGACCGTCTTCTTGTTCTCAGGCCACCGCAGACATAGACTGAGGGGGAGTGGATCAGCGACGGGCCCCGTTCCCACGGGAAGTCGCGGATTTCCGCCGCCGAGCGGGGCGGCACCGGCCGCATTTCGGGGAGGGCGCCTCCCCCGATCCATGGATCAGGCGACCGCGCGCCAAATCCATGGATCGCTAATCCATGCTTGTGCCCCCCCGAGTTTTCTTGTTCGTTGTTTTGCCGATCGGCGCGGGCCCTCGCACCCCCCTCCCCCTCCCTCCCCCTCCGCCCTCCCCCATGGAGTGGATCTTGGCTGTTGTTGGCGCCTGTTTCGAGCAGGCGGAGGCTGCTCCACAGGACGCACTGTTGCAAACAGTCGCGCTCAGCAGAGGTTGACCCCCCCTGTCCCCCCCCACTCCCGCCCAATGTCGAAATGCCGAAAAAAACGCTCACAGACAGATAGATAGATAGATAGATAGATAGATAGATAGATAGATAGATATATAGATAGATAGATATATAGATATATAGATATATAGATAGATATATAGATAGATAGATAGATATACATATACACACATACAAACATATATATATGTGTATATATATAAACATATATCTATATATATGCATAGATGCACACACACATATACATATATACATATATATATATATGTGTGTATATATATGTATATATACATATATATATATATATAATATGTATATGGGTACCTATATATATATGTATACACACATCTATGTAGATATTGGCCTCGGCGGCGCGAATCTGGCGCAGTGTACGGAGGATTCTGGCCTCGGCAGCGCGAGTCGAGCGCCGTGTGCGAGGGATTCGGGCCTCCGCAGCACGAGCCCGGTGAATTTGCAGAGAGGACTCTGGTCTCGGGAGCGCGAGTCTGGTGTGACAGAGATGCTGGGATCTGGGATGGGAGCGCGGATATGGTGAAATTGCTGTGGATTCTGACCTCGGGAGCGCGAGTCTGGAGAACGTGGCAGTGGAGTTGGGTCTCGGGAGCGCGACGCAGAGTAATTTTGACTATGGATTCTAGCATCGAGAGCGTAAATCGAGTGCAACTTACAAGGAATGTGACCCCAGGAATGCGAATCACACGCATGTTTAGACTTCCCAGGGTCCCCCAGGGGATTTCCGAGAACCAGGGGAGGCCGTGGCGACGAGGGCGGTTCTCGGCTCCCCCCCGCGCGGATGGAAGTATAACTATAGCAGTGGAGACGGAAAGCTAGAGGTTGCATTGGAATTGCGACTGGGACCGAGGAGCTGAGGACTTTGCTGAAACCCGATGCTCGCAGCCTGGTGGCCCCCGTAAGCAGGCACGACAAAATAAGACCAACACATATATCTATATATAGAGAGAGAGAGAGAGAGGAGTACATAGAGGGATCAGCGGAGAGGCGGAAAGACAGACAGAGAGAGGGAGAGAGAGAGAGAGAGGGAGAGATAGAGAGAGAGAGAGAGAGCGCCCGAGGCAGAGACAGGGGCAGGGAGGCGCAAGTATGCGGGTAGAAGCGGAGAGCATGGGAGGAGGATGAGGAGGAGGAGGAGGAGGAGGAGGAGGAGGAGGAGGACGGGGAGGAGGGGGAAGATGAAGAGGAGGAGGAGGAGGAGGAGGAGGAGGAGGAGGAGGAGGAGGAGGAGGAGGAGGAGGAGGAGGGGGGGGAGGGAGGAGGAGGAGGAGGGAGTAGGGAGGAGGGAGGAGGAGGGAGGAGGAGGGAGGAGGAGGAGGAGGGCCAGTGTAAGCCTAAGAGTCATCAACGATGTTGGAATTAACCCTCCCTCCAAGCTCCCTCTTTGTAGGCCTCTACAACGGTTCGTTTCCACTGCGGGAACTGCCTGCTTGGAGGACAACCGTTTGAAGACCCTGAGGCATGCCAACACATTGTTCTCGGGATTTCAACGCCACGGATCAACCTGACTGCTGCGTCTTGACGATTCGGAATCGTTACAGAACTCCATTTTGGGACTTCAGCACCGCGAATCAACATGATCGTTGCACCCGCATAGTCCTGCATCCGTCCCAAGCACCATTTCGTTAATCATAGGAATCCGTGAAACGCTTGTAGTTCTTTTTAACGAATGTGCGCGGCGCGAAGGCGAGAGCCACATTTTGAAAAGGAACCGCCCTCAATCCGTGAAACCCTTCCAAATGTTTAAAACGAATGTGGGCTGTGTTAAGGCGAGAGCCACATTTTGAAAAGGAACCGCCCTCAATCCGTGAAACTCTTGCAAATGTTTACAACGAATGTGCGCGGCGCTAAGGCGAGAGACACATTTTGAAAACGGCCCACCTTCAATCCGTGAAACTCTTGCAAATCGAATGTACGCGGCGCTAAGGTGAGAGCCACATTTTGAAAACCACCCGTCTGTGAAGCTGTTGCCACTTTTGAAGTTTCAGAGCCATACGTGGTGAGGGAGTCTCAGGCGAAACACCCGGCCCGCCCTAAAAACTGGCCTCGGGGTGCGACAGGGAGAAGTTATTCATAAGGAAAAGGAATGGAGGAGGAAGATGAGGAGGAGGAGGAGGAGGAGGAAAAAGAGGAGGAGGAGCAGCAGCAGCGGGCATACAGGAGGATTAGGAGGAGGACGACGAGGCGAGAGATGGGGCGAGGGCAAGGAGAAACGAAGAGGAGGGAAGATGAGGGAGGATGGGGGCCAAAGGGGGGGGAAGGAGAAGCAGGGGGAGGGGACGGAGGAGGAGGAGTGAGTGAGGGAGGGAGGGAGGGAGGGAGGGAGGGAGGAGGAGGAGGAGGAGGAGGAGGAGGAGGAGGGGACAGGATGGGAGCATAGAAAGGAGGGGGGCAGAGGAAGAGACAGAGACAGAGAGAGGGACAGAGAGAGAGAGAGAGACGTTTCTCTCGCGGACGCGGTGCCCTGCGCGAGACGACCCGGGGCCAGACTTCGTGCATGCGGGAAAGGTTGCAGCGCCTCTCCCTGCCGCCCTGCTCGTCCCCCGTCCCTCCTCCGACATCCTTCCGTCCGTCCTCCCGCTGCCCCCCTCCTCTCCTGTCGGTCTGCCGTCTTTGTTCCTCTGGGTCTCCCTCTACCCCGATGCCTCTCTCTCTCTCTCTCTCTATCTCTCTTTCTCTCTCCATTCCTCCTCTTTATCTATGTGTGTGTGTGTCTCTCTCTCTCTCTCTCTCTCCCCCCCTGTATTCTCTCTCTATTTCTTTCCCCTCCCGTCTCTTCACTGATCTCTGTATTTTCTCTCTCTCTCTCTGTCTCTGTTTTTTGTTGTTTCTCTCTCTCTCTCTCTCTATATATATATATACATATGTGTATCTCTTTCTGTCTCTTTCCCTCTTGCGTTCTCTCCCCCTCTCTCTCTCTCTTTCTCTCGCTTCTATCTTCAGCCCTCACTCCATCACTCCTCCCTTCCCCTCTCCTTCCTGTGCTATCTTCCCCCCGTCTTCCCTCTTCCTTCCTCCCTCCATCACTTCTCTCGCCTCTCATGTCCCATGTCAGCTTCCGCTACATTGTCGTACTCGCTTGCGCGTGACATATGCATGGGAAGCAGGCTCGTTTCGAGAGTAAAAGGAGACCAGCCATGCTGCCCATATCGGTTGAGGTCACACGCTGCTGCATGGGAAGAGGACCGGCGATATTCAGAACAAGAGGAATCTTCAGAGGAAGAGTCTTGAGACGTTCTCGGTCATTGGACCCTTGCAGGAGGCATGCTTGCTCCGATGCAGGGGCTCGCGGCACTCTCTCTCTCTCTCTCTGGGGGTGGGCCTGGCTGCTGCTCGGCGTGCCAGAGCTTCGGCTGCCCTCCACCTCTCGCCAGGACCCACGCCGATCCGATTCGACATCGCTTCCGGCCGGCCGATCCAAGCCGATTCCACGAAGGTATCGATCCGATCTGACGAAGGTTTCGATCCGACGAGGGTTCGATCCGATCCGATTTCCCGATTCGATGCTGATTGGTCCAGTTTCCTCGCACGGCTGCCCCACGCCGGGGTGAACCACCTGCGACCTACGCAGCTCCTGGGATGTCCGATTCCAGTCCGCGTGTCTCCTTCCCATCCGCCTCCTCCTTCTCTCCTCCTCCTCCTCCTCCTCCTCCTCCTCCTCCTCCTCCTCCTCCTCCTCCTCCTCCTCCTCCCTCCTCCTCCTCCTCCTCCTCCCTCCTCCTCTCCTCCTCCTCCTCTCCTCCCCTCCTCCTCACTCCTCCTCCTCCTCCTCCTCCTCCTCCTCCTCCTCCTCCTCCTCCTCCCTCCTCCTCCTCCTCCCTCCTCCTCCTCTCTCCTCCTTCTCCTCCTCCTACTCCCTCCTCCTCCCTCCTCCTCCTGCTCCTCCTCCTCGCCTCCTCTTCCGCCTCCGCCTCCCCCTCCCCCTCCTCGTCCCCCTCCTCCCCCTCCTCTCCTCCTCCTCCCCTCCTCCTTCCCTCCTCCTCTCTCCTCCTCCTCCTCCTCCTCCTCCCCTCCTCCTCCTCCTCCTCCTCCCTCTCTCCTCCTCCCCCCCCTCCCCCTCCTCACAGGTAACTTCTCCCTGTCGCCGTCTTGGAGCGCTTCTGGGGGTCTTGGAGCGCTCACGGGCTGTCTTTTGAAGCCTCTTGGACCCTCTAGGGCGCTTTCCGGGGCCCTTATGGCCCGTCTTGGGCCCCTCTGCCTTCTGGAAAAGTCATGCGGGGCAGCCCAAGAGCGCGCGGGAACGCCCAGGACATCTGGGATTTCGGGGCCCCAGTCGTTAGAATGCTATAATCCCAGGGGTCGAGAAAGCTTTACTTCGCGCCTCGCGGCATGGTGGCAGATGATAGATGGCTTGAAGGATGATACCAGCGTTGCGGAGGACGCTTCTCAGATTCGTGATGTGTAATGATTTGTGTTGGCCATGATCTTGGAGGGGAAATCTGACGCCTAGAGCGACGATGGTAATTGGGGGTGGTACTGGTGACGATGACAATGTGAACGCCGACGACGACGAACGCTCATGTTTTACGACGAGATCGGCGAGGATGTCGAGGGAACGATAGAGCAAGATGCCCGATAGAGCGCGGAAAGGGGGTGCCCATCCGAATGAGGTCCGGAAGTTTGTCTTAGCGTGTCGCAGCGCAATGCCAGTTCTGGCCCACCGCGCTTCGGCGCGACACGCGAACCACGTCCCACTCCCCGAGCATTCAGGGCCCGAGCATTTCCCGGCCTTACGCCCCGCGGAGCGGGGTGACGCGCTACCCGCCTGCAGGGCATAGCGTGTCGCCCGGGCCGCCGCGGCGACACGCTAAGCAAAAGTTCCTTACCGTAGAGGGGATGAGCGAAGAGGTTCGAGATTCGCGCTCCGAGGTTCGTTCTCTGGAGGTTTTTGATCGTCCTGGGACGCCCTCGTGGCCACTGCTGGATCCGCCTCGGGATTCTGGCCAGAACGCATCCCAGGAGCGGCCCAGGAATAAATGTTGTCCCCCCCCCTGATCAGGAGCAGCGTCAGGGGGGGGATGGGCTCAGAGGGGGTACGCACCGACCCCAATTCGCCCATTTATCGCCGACAAGGGCGGACTTGCTAATTATCGGCGGCGTGTCGCCGACCTATCGGCGATGTGTCGCCGAGTCCAGCTTGAACGGCCTCGGTTGCTCTCTGGCCGCGCCCCCGCAGCTGCCACGGCCCTAGCTCCCCGGCAGCCGGCTGCCCGCGTCTGAAGCACGCGGCCGCGCACTTGGGCCTTGAAGTCTGGGAATTGTTGAAGCCCGCCATGGCTGTCACCGACGAGGTCGGCGCTCCCCAGCAGCTTTTTCCTAGACTCAACGCTCGTAGTGCGAGGGCACAGGATACGGAGAAGGATGCAGTGTGTGTGTGTTGTGCGTGTGTCATGTGTGTGTCGTGTGTGTGTGTGTGTGTGTCGTGTGCGTGTGTGTCGTTTTTGTCGTGTGTGTGTGTGTGTGTGTCCGTGTGTGTGTGTGTCGTGTGTGCGTCGTGTGTATGTGTGTGCGTATTTGTGTGTGTGTGTGTGTGAAACTGGTGCTGCTCTTGTACGCAGGTGCCCCCACCAACCATTTCATTGATAATGCTCAGGGTGTCGTGCGAACTGCGCCTCGCTGTCAATACTTCAGCATGCCTTGTGCTCAAACCTGCGCGTGGTGTGGCATGTATGCTTATTTCCTACACTTGGGTGAATATGTTGCTGGTGCAATGTTCGGCGGACTGTCGGAGGGTTCGTGGCTGGGGCACGGGGCTCCCTAGCTGCCGTTTCACAACACGGCCCGGTCGTTTTGCCGGCATCATTTGCTGGAGCGGCTTTCCTTCGTCAAAATTGAGTGCTGGAACCCACGGCGTGGGTTGCTGGAACCATTGTCCCTCGTAAGCATTGGGTGCTGGAATCCACCCTTCCTGAAGACATAATCTGCGGGAGCCACGTCTATCGCAAAAATGGAGTGCTGGAGCCCACGGCTTGGGCTGCTGGAACCATCGTCCTTCGTCAAAGCTGGGTGCTGGAGCCAACCCTTCTTGACGACATAATATGATGTAAGCATTTTCCCTCGTTCAAATTGGGCAGTGTAACCACACCCTGAATAGGGCTTTAGACATATAAATGAGGTCGGGAGGGCGGTATGGGGCCCAGTTGTGGGTGTCCTAGCATTGTAGTCGCGCCTCGCCCCCAAACAGGGGGCAGTCCGCGTGCGCGTGCGCGCGCGTGCGCATGCGCGCGTGCGTGCATGCTTTCGTGCGCGTGTGCACCTTCGTGTGCGTGTGCGCGCGCGCGTTCGCGATCGCGTGCGTGCGCGCGCGTGCGCGCGCAAGCTCAGGCGCGAGCGCGAGCCCGAGCCCGAGCTTGAGACCGAGCCCGAGCCCGAAGCCCATCCTGAGCGCGCCCGCGCGGTTGCGCGCGCCCGCGCGCGCGTGCGTGTGCGTGAACCGCGCTTCCGATCGATTGCCATGCGCTCAAAATTTTCACAACCAGCAATGTTCACCTGAGTGTAGAGTGAACACCTCCTCTTGAACAGGACCTTCATGTGCCAGGAGATGCCTGCTTAGGTGCCCACTTTGTTCCTCTCGCTTCGCGGTGTGCACGTCCAGACCACTAACAGTCCAGTCGTTGTGGGGACTCCTGGGAGCGAGCCTCTTGGGGGCCTCTTGGGGGCCTCTTGGGGGCCTCTTGGGGGCCTCTTGGGGGCCTCCTGGGCCGCCTCCTTGGGCCGCCTCGGGGTGCCCATGGGCGCCGTCTGGCCCGTTCGGAGGCCGTCTTGGGGGCCTCTCGGGACCGCCTTGGGGCTCTCTTGGGGGTCGTCCTGGGCCGTCTTGAGGGCCTCTTGCGACGTCTTGGGTTGGGCCGCCTTGGGGTGCTCTTGGGCCATCCTGGGGTGCTCTTTGGCCCCGAGGCAAAGCATGCAGAAACGCCAGAAAGTCTTCCAGACACGTGTGGGGAAGCAATGTCTTTGGCCTCTGGAGGCGCTCCTGGGGGTCCCTTTGGGGCCCTCGGGCCGTCCTGCGGTTGTCTTGAGCTATCTTGAAGCCATCTTGAGTCTTCTTGAGGCTCTCTTGGACGCCCAGGAAGTACAAGAGACCAACATCAGTGATTTTCCCTGGCTTAGGGCAGGGTTTAGGTGAGGTTGTGAAGTGGTCGGCATGGGTCTGCGACTCGGCGGGGGCCCTGGGCGGGGATCAAGGGGGGCTGTTTTGCAAAGGGCACGAATGCAATGTCTCGCAAATGGGCTTCCTTCACGCATCGTGGCTTGGCCCTTGCGCCACACATTCGTCCTTTCGAACTGCCGAGACGTTGCGCTGCAGTCCTGACGGAGATCCTTTTATCAAGAGGCTATTCCGCCGACCCCCACAGGGTGGCTGGGCGAATGTGATAATGTCCGCAGCCTGCATCCCCAGCAGCCCATCCAGAAGCGATGCCCAGACGATCGCTTGGAACAAGGGGATTACGGTAGGTTGGAAAGAGCGTGTTCTACCGTTGCTGGCGGAAAACCGGGGGGGGTC